GTCACAAATTCACTTTAGACAGAATGAGGTTGACATTTACGTGAGAATGCTGAATAGCGGCTAGATACAGGAGTCAAAGAAGTCTGCACTAGAGCCATAAGCTTGGGTATCGTGGCATTCTGATGGCTACTTAAACTGTGGGCTTAGAAGAAAACACCTAGGAAGCAAGCAAGCCTAGAGACTGCATCTTGAGGAATCCTGATAGGAAGACGAGGACCCTACAAAGTAGAAAGAAGGAAAAGAGAGACTCCTGTCAGAAGGTCTTAGCCTTCCCAATCAGTAAAAAGGCAAAATCATTTCCAGAGAATAACGAAGGTTGAAAAAGGAAAAAAACAAAGTTGAGGCTATTAGGTTACCACGTCCTCACAAGTGAGAATAGAATCTAAAAGGGGTGGGGGTGGAGCAAGGGGAGAGAAAAGTAGACTTTCTGTTGTAGTCTGGAAGAACTAGGTCCAAAGGACTCAACAGTGAGCCTCTGATTCCCAGAAACTAAACAGACAGTAACAGTAGTCTGAAGTTAGGGAGGAAAGCAAAACAGAGAAGTAGTTTTACCAGGTCTAAATCTGACAGGATGGCTATATACAGAAGGAATCCTTTGATCATGTGCTGTATGAGCAGTTGAGCAATAAAACCAGATTTGAAGAATACAAATAATGTGGTTGGGCTAATTGCTGATAATGGGAAAACTACATGATGTAAATCTTTTCATTTCACCACTAACAACACACAAAACCAGTGGCAAGCTATTATTTACCAATGACTGCCAAAAACCACCCAAACAACCTGCAGATTTTGGGGATCCAGCCCCAAAGAATTTTGACATTTCTGTGCTTTGGAATCTTGGCTTTTAAAGTTTCTCAGATGATTCTCATGAATAGCCAAGTTTGAGAATCATTCCCTAAGCTTTAGAGGAACACTTCAAAAAGTGTGCCCTTTTTGTCATACTAGGGTTTGACACTGTAACATTATTAATAACAGGCCAGGTGTGGTGGTTCAGCCTGTAATCCCACACTTTGGGAGGCTGAGGCAAGAGGACTGCCTAAGTCTGAGGGTTTGAGACCAGTCTGGACAATTTGGTGAGACCTCGTCTCTACGATGTATCACAAAAAAAACCTAGCCAGGCATGGTGGCGTGCATCTGTAGTTCCAGCTACCTGGAAGGCTGAGGTGGAAGGATTGCCTAAGCCCAGCATGTTGAGGCTGCAGTATCCATTAGCGTGCCACACTCCAGCCTGGGTGACAAGAGTGAGACTCCAACTCAAAAACAAGCAAACAAGCATCTAAATCAGGAAGGGAACACTTCTTTAATAAACTGTGAGATTATGAAAAGATTTCTGTGTACAAGAGGGAAAAATAAATAAATAAAACCAGTAAAAAACATTAAAGGTAGAATAAACAGAATCCTGTTATTACTGTATGCTTATGTGAAGGCAATAAAACTATAAATTTAACATTTAGTCCTTTGAAAAATCATTTAGTTAAAATGCGGTCATCTTACCTGTTCTTTCTTCTAATTTAGCATACTTTGGAGTATTGCACATGTTACACTCTGATCTTCTGGCCCAATTCACATTACTGCAACTTTAGGAGTGAAAAATACCTAATTAATGTGCTATGATAAAATGCTAAACAAATAATAAGTTTTTAGACATTCTAGAATTTTAAAACAAAAACAAGAATGAAATCACTACCATAAAGAAATATTTGATAATGGGTAATGTAAAACAAAAAAATGTACACTGGATTAAAGAGAAAATATGGGTCCCTAAAACAGACTGAACTTTTAAGCAGAGAAGCAAAACCTATACAGTATGCAGAGTGCCTTTGTAATTCTGATAAATGACAAATTAAAACCATAGACTGTACATTCTTGAACCTGAAAATCCAAAATTCAAAACTTTCTGAACTATGACATTACATTCAAAAGAAATGCCCTCTAGACAATTTCAGATTTTCGCATTTGGGATGTTGAACCAAAATCTGAAAAAAAAACCCTGAAATCTAAAACTCTTCTGATCCCAAGCATTTAGTATAAGGGACACACCACCTGCATAGAGAGTCTGATGTCTTATGAAAAAAACAATCAATTTAAATAAAAGGGTCCATTAATTTCTCAGTTTCTGAATTCACCTCAAAGAAGAGTAAAGCTATACTCTCCAAATAATGTTAATTTCCTTTTTGAGGAATCAGTTTAAGCACTAAATTCCACACCAAATCAAATCCAGTGACCAATCCGTGTCTGGAATATTTTCCAATATAAATTTAGTATCTACGGGATCACAAATTTATGTTAGGCTCTTTCCTGATTCAGTCCTCTTTCATACATACAGAATCCATCTGCATAGAGAAAAGATGGAAGTCTGAAAAGTCAATACAGAATTAAATCTCAACCTGAAAATCAAGACTATTAAGAAACCTACCTACTTAGGAATAATTACTTATGGCACGCAACTTACACTTCTAACATTACTTTGTAAACAAGCAAAATGAATTTTGTGGTGCATTTCAAACTAATGATTGAGGCTAAAAATGTTTGGGGTGTTTCAATAGAAAGAAGCAAGCCTCAGTACTTTTAAGTACCCCCCACCTGTGGTTATCTCATGTACTATGGTATACATACTTAAACTATTAACAGCTAGTGTTACCATGAACAATGCAAAAAGATAATTTAAAATTTCGTTATATTTTGTACTTAAATGTGAGATACAGACCGAATAACAATCCACAGACCATTTATTTAAAAGGTTACTCGGCCTTGGCTCGTCAGCATGACTAACAGCAGCAATATCAACAAGTAGCGGCGGGACATGTCATTCTGGAAGCGTGCAGAAAAACGGGAAACACATACGTCTTGCACTGCCAGTCGTTGGCGCTAAAGAGGCCGCGGCTTTTCTCCGCAAGCGTCTTTCCTATCTCGGTGCCCCCAGCTTTCATCATCTTGGCCTCAGTTGTTTTCTCTGAAAACAGAGAAGCCACGCAACGTAAACCCGGGGAAAAAAGCAATGATCCGTGTACGCCATCCTAACAGAATCGCCCTTAGACACTTACCCCGACCACATCGATTACAGCTGGTTCTTCTAGCAAAGTTCACGTTTCCACATCTGGAAGAACAATAAGGAGCATTCATAAAGACTTCTTGTAAATGCGCGCAACTTAAAATGTCCACGCGTCTCCCCGACACACCGGGAACTCAGAACTTCTCGTCCACCGCAGCCGTGTGAACAGCAACGTCAACGCCCAAAACTCGAAATTCAGCAGAAGACGCAAGACTCGGAAATCCAGTTTAAAAACTAGGTCTAGAACCACAAACCCGAAGAAGGAATCCCACCTGCGCGATGCCGGGGAAGCCGCCCGGACCTGGGCCTGGAAGGCCGCGCCGCAGCGCGTCTCGCGAACGACCCCGGGATCCCCTCGCGCCGCCGGGCGCGGGGCCTGACGCCACACCCCTCACGGCCGGGGAGGCCGCGGGGAAGCCCTCGAGGCCCTCCAGAGGACCTCTCCGTCCGGGGAGGGCAAGTCGCACGCCGCCGGGCGACACGCAGGGCAGGACG